AAATCACTGAAGATGTGGTCGAACTTCAAGAGAGCATGGACGACCCACTAATGATTGAAGAAGCCCGAGAGTTAGCTAAGATAAATAAGAATCGTGAGGAAGAGGAAGAATCCAAGATGAGCCCCCAACCGTAAAGAAAGAGTGGGACATCACGGAACTTAAGGAATTCACCTCCTTAATATCTTCTGTCGTCAAGTGTGTTAGGGACAATGACCCTGATGTGGAGAGGGCTACAGAGTATGTAGACAACTTGTACAGGCTCTCTTCTACCTACAATCGTCTGCTGGACAGGAAGATAGCTAACTTAATAAGTAGTAGGTAGTAGGCAGCTATCAAACAGGGAGGTACTACCGCCTGGGAAGATATTGGAAGCATTATGTGTTGTCTAATGGTAGACCCTGCTGCCATATGGCACCACGAAAATTGTGACCAAGTCCCAGGTTGCTAATCTGACTTTCTGCCACATTTACACACAATTGCAGGGTCTCAATTGTTTCTCTTACTATTGACAGCACAACATACATACAGTACAGTACATTGTTTATCATTTTTTATCTTTTATTTTTTATTTTTTTGTATTTCTTTATTATTATTATTATTATTATTATTATTATTATTATTATTATTATTATTATTACAGTGTTGTTATTATTATTATTCTCATCATTATTAATTTATTATTATATTTTCAATTTGGTATTTTTTATCATAAATTTTATTTACTATGAATTATTATTATTATTATTACATTTTCGCCCCCCAGGCCCCGATGTGGGTCAGTGACTTGTGCCCGGGTGGGCTAATCCCTGTGTGTAAAAAAAAAAATAAATAAATAAGGGAAAAAAAAAAAGCAGAGATCCATCATTTCCTACTTCCGGCCCCTTTCTCGCTATTCAGGTAAGTTTAAGTTTGTGATTTTTATTGAAAAAGTGAAAAAAAAGATGAGTTGTATAGTTGTGTCCAGTGGTGGTGAGTGGTCACAAGACTCAGTGCACATGCACTCCACCCTCTCAGCTGTTCGCGTAGAGTCTCGACTGAGTGCATTATGACTAAGATAAAATTAAGGTTTAATGATTCCTGTGCAGGTTATATTTTACAGGTGAAATGGAGGCAGGACCATCAGGGGTGCAGGCAGGACCATCAGGGCTTTTTTTTTTTCGGGAATTAGCCCGCCCGGGCACAGGTCAAACGACCCACAACGGAGCCTGGGGGGCGAAAGAAAAAGAAAAAAAAAAGAAAGGAAAGAAATTGTAAATACAGTAGGCTCTCGCCAATAACGACTTCCACAATAATGTTTTCGACAATAACGGTAAGTTACAATAGATACCCATTTTCGATAATAACGTTTGGATTCTCTTGAATAACGGAAATTTCGTGGGAAGCGTCCGATCGCATCAATGATAGCGCTTGTTTGCCGCCATGTTGATGACGTAGTTGTCCGCTCCGCCTCACTCTCACACACGCTCCGTGGAATACAGCACTGTGCCCACGTGTGAGATTTTCGCCTCTATAACCAGTGGTTGTTAGGGTCGGTGATCAATAATGGCTTCCGCATTTTTGCCTGTGTGGGCTAGGGGAGGTGGTGGAGGGAGTGATTTGCCACCTGAATGACTGGGAACTTTTAAAGTGAGGAAATTGAACTGTCCTGAGTCTACAGTGCGAAATATTAAGAGGAACTTAGCGGAGACCAAGAAGAGTATTGCGCTGGCTAAAAGTATTTCGGTAGTGATGGAAATTCGAAGCGAGCTATGAATGATAAAGGCGATAGAAACAGGTAGTTAGTGATAACAGAGCAAATTCTTGTGAAATGGTTAGCTTGTAGAATGAAAGACAGTGCAAGTGTTAGTGGCCCTCAGATATGGAACAATCATCACACCAAGCACCTCAAAAACTCCCCCAAGCTAAGTGTTATTTTACTCAAACTCTTTATTTTGATGATTGAATAACAATTCTTTTTATTTCAGCTAACAAAAAGTGTTAGGAGGGCTTCAAGGGGAAAAAATGGATGAAATTCTTGTGGCGGTGGCACCTATAAACCCTTTTTACATGTATTTTAATGTCACACAAATAACATTTTCACTAATAATGGCGTTTTTCAGGCACCTATTAAATGTTATTGGTGAGAGCCTACTGTATAGAAAAAAAAAAGGTTATACAGTCGGCCCTTAACATACGCGGTATTAGCATACACGGATTTGCAGATACATGGATTGCCCCGCCGGAGGAATATTCTGTACATTGAAGGAATTGAAGTACATTCAAATCTCGCGCCATTCAACTCGCGCGCGGCACCGAACACCGCCCACTCCCACAACCTCACACACACACGCATAGCTCTCCCTCACTCAGTCAGTTTCGCTGTAACCACGCTTGTGTTGACATCAGCATTGTAGTTGCAAAAATATTACATTTCCGTGAATGTATTATATCAAGCACAGTATGAATAGAATATCACTAATACAACAGTATTTTAACCGAAAACTATTAAAAAAACGAGTAACATATCTTGAATATCGGAAGGTTAGGTAAAGTCTTTTGTTTTCATGTAGTTTATCCTACTGTTCCAAGCATATAGTCATTGGAGTTTGTGTACTAGTATATGTGTGAGATGGTGTACCCTACTGTATGTGTGTTAATTCCTGTTCTGTACATTTCAGGTATTGGTGCCTTCTGTATTGAGACAATAAACACCAACAAAATCAAACAGTATATTACTGACCGACGGTGCACACCGTAAATTGGCGACGAGGATCAAGCACATACATCTATTCACAACATGGCCACTGCTATACCAACACTACAACCTCTAGAGCTAGAGGAGGCTGACCAAACACAAGCATGGACTGACTGGATAGAGCATGCTGAAGATGCCTTCATTGCATTCAACATAACTGAAGATGCCAAAAGACTAGCACTCATCAGATTATATGGAGGAAAGAAACTGAAGGAAATCATGAAGACATTGCGTCCAGCGATACTGACAGACAAAAAAGAACCAACGTACAAAACAATGAGAATAGCACTTGATGAATACTTCAGTGAGAAAACAAACGAAGTATTTGAACGACACAAATTCCGGATGCTGGCGCAGGAGGTAGGGGAAAGTACACACAACTACGTAACCCGCCTACGTACACAAGGGGCCAAGTGCAACTTCGACAACTACAACCTTGACCAAGCCATCATCGACCAGTTGACGGAGAAATGTACTTCACATAAGATGCGTCGTGCATACCTGAAGGAGACAGACATAACAGTACAGAAAGCTCTACAAATCACTTACACTTATGAATCAACTGAAGCCCAAGCTTGCCAGATGGAACAAGGTGAAGAAGGCACCAATGTGAACAAAGTAAACACAAGATACAAACAACAACAGCAGCGGGACTGGGAAAGCAATCGAAGACAACAAAGTAAGGACATGCCACGCAACCCAAAACTGAACTGTCTCGGGTGTAATGGTACTGGCCATCGACATGGACAGAGACAATGTCCTGCATTTGGAAAAAATTGCAACTACTGTGGAATCGTCAACCACTTTGCCACCGCGTGCAGGAAAAAACATAACCGACAAGAGAGGGTCAGACAACTGACAGAGGACAGTTAGACGGGTAACGACGACAATCACGTACACCAGGTGTCGTCCAAGAGCACAAAAGAATCTGACGATGGCCATACCTATGAGTTCAGAGTGACATCAGACGATACTGCAGAGGTAAAGGTGATGATAGTATACGTACCGGTCGGGATGTTGATTGACTCAGGGGAAAACGTCAATCTAATTGACGGGGGCACGTTCGAACACATCATCAAAATACGACCGAACATAGTACTCAAGGAAACGAATATCCAACCTAAAGCGTATGGAAACATTCCCATCCCACTCCGAGGAGAGTTCTTTGCAACACTGTCAAATGGATCGAAGAGAGTCGCACACAAAATCCTGGTAACAACAGCGAAACAGGTAGGGAATATTCTGAGTAAGCGGGCCAGCTTGGATCTTGGCCTTCTAAGTATCCACCAGAATAACCGGATTACGACCAGTGAGATGCCTTCATCAACCCGGAGGATACTGGAACAACATCTACCAGCGCTGAATGGACTGGGGAGAATGAAAAACTTCCAACTCAAGCTCGACATCGACCCAAATGTCAAACCCGTCGCACAGCCACCTCGGAGAGTACCATTTCACGTTCGAGGTGCAGTCGAACAGAAGATACAAGAAATGTTAGATAATGATATCATCGAGAGCGTGGAAGGCCCTACACCATGGGTGTCCCCATTGGTGACTGCTCCAAAACCAGATGGAGATATCAGGATATGCGCAGACTTCCGCATAGCAAACAAAGCGGTGAAACGCATGCACCATCCTATACCAACCGTGGAACAACTACTCAGCGAAATTAACGGGGCCACGGAATTCTCAAAAATCGACCTAAACTCATACTATCATCAGATCGAGCTAACCCCCGAATCGAGAGACATAACAACATTCTCGTGCGACTCCAGTATCTACAGGTACAAGGTGTTAGTCATGGGCATTGCATTAGCCGCGGAACAAGGACAACGTCTGCTACAACAGATTTTGCAAAAGTGTCCGAATTGTCGGAATGGAGCGGATGATATCCTGGTCTGGGGCAAGGATACGAGTGAACACAAGTGCTCTGGAAAAAGTACTGCAAAAGTTGAAGGAGAACAACCTGACCATCTCCCAACACAAAAGCGTGTTCCACATAGATGAAGTTGAATTCCATGGATTCACTGTATCCAAAGAGGGCATCAAACAGACAGATGACAAAATCGAAGCCGTGAAGAGGTTCAGACGGCCAGAAACGGTTCAGGAAGTCCGCAGCTTCCTAGGTCTGATCAACTACCTGACCAGGTTCATACCACTATTAGCGACATTGAGCGAACCTCTGAAAAACCTGACTAGAATGAACAGCAAGTGAACCTGGACAGAAAAAGAAGAGCGGTGCTTCAACAAGCTGAAGAACGCCGTCATGAAGAGTGAGGCACTCATGCACTTCAACCCTCAGCTACCAACCACACTAATTGTGGATGCTAGTCCGGTAGGACTAGGGGCAATGCTATGCCAAAACCACCAAGGGGTACTCAAACCCATCAGTTATGCCTCCCGAACACTGACTCAGGTGGAAAGACGGTATTGTCAGCTGGAGAGGAAAGCCTTAGCCATAGTTTGGGCATGTGAAAAATTTCATCTATATCTTTACGGGAAAGAATTCACCATCATGACCGATCAAAAAGCGCTAACGACCATCTTCAGCCTGAAAGGCAAACCATCAGCCCGTATACTCCAGTGGATCCTACGCATGCAACAGTACGACTTCACGGTCCAACACATCAAAGGAAGTGACAATCCGGCAGACATACTGTTTAGGCAACCCCTGCCATTCGATGCTCAAATCTCTGAAGAAGAGAAACTGGCAGAGGGATTCATCAACTATGTGGTAGCCAAAGGGTTCCCGAAAGCTATGACACTATCTGAAATTCTCGAAGAATCAGGGAAGGATCCGACTATAAGAGCCCTCGAAGACGCCATCGCCAAAAATGAGTGGACGGATAAACTAGCGGAGCCTTTCAAACACATACGTGCAGAACTGACATCAAAACGGGGACTCATGTTGAGGGGATCCCGGATCATAATGCCCCAAACACTACAACGACGCACGATGCAACCCGCACATGAGACACACCTGGGAATGGTCAAGACCAAGGCGCTACTCCGAGGCAAGGTATGGTGGCCAACTATCAACAAGGACATGGAGAAGGCAATCAGACAATGCATCCCATGTGCAAGCCTCGACACAAGAAAACAAGCCAATCCGGTGAATATGTCTGAGATGAAGGGGCTGTGGGAGGTAATCCACGTGGACATACTGTATGTGGACCTCTCCCTAGTGGTGACTATGTACTGGGAATTATCGATGCAGGATCCCGGTGGCCAGAAGCCTTTGTGGTCAAAACTATCAACACCGATACCGTTACGACCCTGATAGAAGGATGCATCACTACACACGGCATCCCAGCGGTCATCGTGTCAGATAACGGACCACAGTTCAGAGCCAAGGAGTTTGCACAGTTCTGTGAAGAATGGGGAATAAAACACCACAAAGTGACACCATATCATCCCCAAGCAAATGGGGAAATCGAGCGGTTCTTCACGACCATGTTGAAAGCACTCCGAGCGATGCATACTGAGGGGAAAGATTGGAGACGGCAACTCGGTAAATTCTTGATGCACTACAGGAACACTCCACACTCGATGACGGGAGAGACGCCAGCCAAACTCCTCATGGGAAGGAACATCAAGGTGAAACTCCCCCAAGTGAGTCATGACTTAGAAGACACACAAGTGACATGTTGGGATGTGGCACGCAAGAGAGATAAATGAGAAAAGGAGAAACTGAAACTCCGGACCGACAACCGGAATAAGTCCAAACTAGCGGAATTGAAACCAACTGAACAAGTGCTCCTGAAACAAACCAAGAAAGACAAGCTCTCAACTAATTATGATCCTAAACCGTGGACGGTAAGTGAAAGGCGAGGCAATTCAGCTATTCTACAGCGAGGACCCAAGAAGATATTATGCAGCACATCCCAGATGAGAAGAGTTCCAGGGAGATGCCTAGGAGGAAATGACGGCAGCGGAGATAGTGACACAGACGGAAGCCACAAAACGGCCGAGAGAACCGACAACATCCATCGAAACCGGGAAAACAACCAAGCTGCCAACACGCCGAGGACAGGGACGGACGAGTCCAGGCAGGATGGGAAAAGCGAGGAGGAACCACTCGCTGCTAGGCGACCACGTCGTACTATAGTAAAACCGAAGAAATACCAGGATGGAGCTGAAGACTTCGGAACGGATGGAAGTGAAAGCTCTGGAACGGATGAAGTTGATGACTCCGAAATGGATAGAGAGACAAGCGACGAATATAAACCTGGCCGTTCATGGAACTAAAGAGAACGGCAATACAGAACGGTCATCATGAATAAAAGGGAGGGGAAGATGTACTGTTCCAAGCGTATAGTCATTGGAGTTTGTGTACTAGTATATGTGTGAGATGGTGTAGCCTATGTGTGTTAATTCCTGTTCTGTACATTTCAGGTATTGGTGCCTTCTGTATTGAGACAATAAACACCAACAAAATCAAACAGTATATTACTGACCGACGGTGCATACAGTAAAATTACGTTTCAGCAAAACTACTATTAATTTCTGAGAATATGGAAATGTAATATTTTTGATGAAATGACGTACGTATTACAGTGGAAAGTGACGAAAGCAATGACTTTCGCTTTCTTTCGTTCAAAAGATGTTACCGTAATCGCTTTTCGAATGGTTTTCAGTTAAAAAACTGTTGTATTACAATAATATTCTATCCTAATTCACTTGTGATGCAACAGTTTTTTAACTGAAAACCATTCGAAAAGCGATTACGGTAACATCTTTTGAACGAAAGAAAGCGAAAGTCATTGTTTTTCACGATTTTATCCCACTTTCCACTGTAATACGTACGTCATTTCAGCAAAAATATTACATTTCCGTGAATGTAGTATATCAAGCACAGTATGAATAGAATATCATTGTAATATAACAGTATTTTAACCGAAAACTATTAAAAAAATGAGTAACATCTCTTGAACATCAGAAGGTTAAGTAAAGTCTTTTGTTTTCGTCATGTATTTTATCCTATTTTACATTGAAATACATCACGTTTCAGCAAAACTACTATTTTTTAACTGAAAACGATTCGAAAAACACGTACCCTCTAGCCCTGTTCAAGGAGAAGACTGAGAGGAGCTGTTTGGTGTTGAAGACGATGACAAGGAAAATGATTTTGATGGATTTTAATGAAAATATTCAGAAATATGGTATCATAGTATTTATTCAAGTGAATTAGGATAGAATATTATTGTAATACAACAGTAGTGACGATGTGGAGGAGGCGGAGAGATAGAGCAGGGAGGAGTGTTGACTGGCGGGAGCAGGGACGAGTGGAGATGCCAGCCAGTACATTACGGGTGAACAGTATTAATTGTTTTTATAGCTCTTTTTGCATTTTAATATTAAATACTGTACATCACTTTTCAACAAAACTACAGAAGAAGTCCAAAAATCCGGACTGCTTGGGGATTGGGTCGGTCCGGATTTTCGGATTTTCCTGATTCTCAGGCAGTACTTTTAAAATTCAAATTTAAGGAGGAATAAAGAAGAGATGAACAGATACATTTTGATAGTTTATTCATTAGCAAATATAGCATGCTTCAGTTATCAAAACGAGCCGTTTTAAAGAAAAAGCTGTGAATTCTAGAATTTTATTCTTCGCCTTTTTTATATCATAAATTGCAGACTTTCCAATGTTGTACTTTCCAATGTTGTATGTTTCCATTAGAACGGTTTTGCTCACACCAAGTTCTATTTTAATTATTTAAAGTTTGTCACTCAATTTCAAAGTGTTCTTCTTTCTCTTCACACAACGGAGTTTATCTACTTTAGGAGCCATTATTATGGGCTCTGTAAATGGAAAGAGTAGGACTCAAAATTACATACGTTGTCACAGTTTGATTGCTCGTTTTAAAGTGGCGACCGCGTTGTCACTTGTTGTCACTGTGCAGCTGTGGCACTCACGCATGCGCACATACATACAAAAGCCAGCAAAAAAAAAAAAAAAGTTTGAGTTTTCGAAAAGTCCAGATTCTCGGGTGGTCCGGATTTCTGGCATCCGGATTTTTGGACTTTTACTGGACTATTTATTTCTGAGAATATGGAAATGTAATATTTTTGCTGAAATGACGTACGTATTACAATGGAAAGTGGGATAAAATTGTGACGAAAGCAATGACTTTCGCTTTCTTTCGTTCAAAAGATGTTACCAATGTTTCGAATGGTTTTCAGTAGTGGGATTTGAGGCTAATGATAGGATAGAATATTATTGTAATACAGTACAGTACAACAGTTTTTTAACTGAAAACCATTCGAAAAGCGATTACGGTAAAATCTTTTGAACAACGAAAGAAAGCGAAAGTCATTGTTTTCGTCATGATTTTATCCCACTTTACACTGTAATATGTACGTCATTTCAGCCAAAATATTACATTTCCATATTTATTTCTGAGAATATATTCATTCAGTCGTTAAAGTAAAATATACTTGTGATGTAATATTTTAATGAAAATACAGTATCGTAATTTTCTTTTGTTTCAAATTTAATTAACAAAGATTGATGTTTCAAATGTAATGAACAAAAATTTATGTACAGTGGCTATAAATAAACTTTAAAAAATGAATACTTTGTTTTTCATCGTCCTGTGCATACCTTTGTGACCTCAATGAGTGAGGACGTGTCTCCTGGCGCTCAGCAGCAGCCAAGGACATCACGTCGACCTGTAGCTACTTAAGGTAGTTCAGTACTTTTACGGGTAGACAGTGCGTATTTTCAAGGTGTCAGTGACTGTAAGTGCCAGACTTGTGAATATGTGTGTTCCAGTGTCACGATATCGTCGCACCGACCTGTTTCGGCTGAAATCTGGTGCTGGCTATCCTCCACCCCACACCATCACTCTACTAAAGGCTGCATTCCCAGACGAATCCCTATCATCACGCCGAGCAAGCATAGGAAAGTCAAGCCAGTACTTGAAAGACAGTGTACTCGCTATGAAGTGCCGCGACTATGGTACAGCCTACCATCCCTACTGCTGTCCAATGTCACATCTTTATGCAACAAGGTGGAGGAGGTCAGTGTCACAGTGAAGTCAGTTGGTGCAGGTATTGTGGCGATTACCGAGGCGTGGCAAATTGTTCCTGAGATCTGTGCCATAGAAAACTATGAGTTATTTCACCACCTTAGAAAGGACAGGAGAGGTGGTGGTGTAGTTCTGTACTGTCGCAGTGACCTCAAACCATCACCCCTAGGTGTTAATGTACCTGAAGATGTAGAAGCCTTGTGGGTTCAGGTCACTCCCACCTCCCACCCCCGCCAGCTTGCCTCCCTCATTGTCTGTGTATGCTATCATCCCCCCCGCGCACCAACCGCCAATGTACTGATTACTCATATTATAGACACTGCTGACTCCCTGAGATCCAGATTTCCATGTGCTAAACTAGTGATATGCGGTGACTTCAATGAGTTAGACATCAGTGACATCACCCAACACCTCCACCTTACACAAATAGTAGACTTTCCCACACATGGCAATGCCACCCTTGACCTCATTATGACTGATCTCGGTAACCACTACCTTCCCCCCCAGCCGCTGCCTCCCATGGGACGCAGCCCACACCTGTCCCTGCTGTGGTCACCTACCCCCACCTTCTCACCACCGCCAGTTGCCACCAGGACTTACCGACCCACCCCCGACTCTGCTATGCGGCGTTTTGGACAATGGATAACCCGGTATCCCTGGACTGAAGTGATCACGGTAGACGATGTGCAGAACAAGTGGGATAATTACCTGGACACTATCACCAAAGCCTACCACCACTTCTTTCCAGCCAAAACACTGAGGGGCATAAAAAGACTAATTGAGCAACGCAACAAGGCATACTACACCAACAACCGTCTGTACAAAAGTCTACGTAACCAGGTCAACAGGGAAATCAAGTCTGCCAAGAAGACTTATTATCCCAGGAAAGTGCACGGCCTCAAGGAAATCGGCATCGGTCAGTGGTACTCCAAGGTAAAAGATTTCTGTGGTCTCAACCGTCAGTCTCCTACACTTCCTTTCATCTCACATTTACCTAGTGAGGAGGCAGCTGAGATAATTAATAACCACTTTGCTACCATATGTCTTACCTTACCCAGTCTTGACCTCACTCTCCTCCCAACTTACTTACCTTCCCCCTCCCCCCCTCCCAGTGTTCAACCATATGAAATCGCCAGCAAACTCCTGAAATTTAAATCCAAACGCTCCACGACCCCAATTGACCTCCCAATCAAAATATACAAGGAGTTTGCAGTCGAACTTGCCACCCCCCTCCGTTCTATTAATTATTAATGCATCCCTCAGACAAAGCAAATGCCCTAATGAATGGAAAACCACATTTGTCACCCCCATCCCCAAGGTCACCACCCCACAGTCCCCTAACGACCTCAGGCCAGTTGCCATTACCCCCATACCCAGTCTACTTTGTGAGGACTTTGTTTTTGAGTGGGCATTTGCCAGTATCTATCAGTTAATTGATCCACAGCAATTTGGCAATATGAGGACCTCCTTTACATCACACTGCTTGGTGAGCTTTCTGGATTTTCTGCACAAAAACTTGCAGAAACGTAAGACATCACTGGCCGTTGCCCTTGTGGACTTCAGGAAGGCCTCTGACCTTGTTGATCACTGCACTGTTATCAACAAGGCTATTGAACTAGGGCTGCCCACCAACCTGGTCTCATGGCTCACTGATTTCTTGAGTGGACGTCGCCAGGCAGTGAGGTATCAAGGCTTGGTCTCTACATTCCAACACCTCACCTGCGGTGATCCCCAGGGGACCAAGATGGGACCACTGTGCTTCCTCATCCTGATCAACGATGCTCTATCGGACACTCCTCACAGGTGGAAGTACGTGGATGACTGCACTGTAGGGGTTTCAGTGGACAACACCGCACCAGACTACTCATCGCTACAAGGCACCCTGGACAGGCTACAGGCATGGACTACGGAGAACAAGGTCACCATCAACCACACCAAAACCGTAGTCATGCACATCAATACCGCCACCACTCCAGTGCAAGCCCCAGCAGTCACAGTGGGTGCCCATCCTCTCCAGCTGGTGCAGTCTGCCAAACTCCTGGGTGTAACTATAGACAACAAACTTGACTGGAAGGCCCATGTAAATAACACAGTCAAGGCAGCCTCGTACCGTCTCTACATGCTACGACGACTTAGGTCACTTGGGACACCCACGCCAGAGCTGAGGACCATCTACAACGCCTTTATTCTCCCCAAACTTACATATGCGTCACCAGCCTGGTCGTCTTCTCTCAACTCCACCCAACAACGTCAGCTAGAGAAGGTACAGAAAAGGGCCTGCAGAATCATGCTCGGCACAGAATACTCCGGCTACACCAACGCTCTCTCCACCCTGGAAATGCCATCCCTCAGTGACCTCCACCACCAAGCACTGGAAAGGTTTGGCAGTGGACTACTGCACCACCCTCGTCATGCCACCTCCTGCCACCTGCAGCCCCCCACCCAACTCGCGCAGTCCGCCACTACAACAAAATACAGCCCATAAGAGCCCGCACCGATAGATATAAGAACAGCACCATCCCATTTATTGTTAAAATAATAAACAACTCCTGATTTATGTACTGTACAGCCCTGTAAATGTATTCAATGCATATTATATCATTATGTCTAAATCAAATGTAAGTCTGTATATTTTCAGCCACCGGCTGCAACTCTATTAATAAACCGTATATTATTATTATTATTATTATACCATGCATTTGGCTACTTTGGGCTTGCTATGATGACGCAAGAGATCTGCCCTGGCAACTGTACCGACACTCACAGTTGGTGGTGCGTTGGTGCGTCGTTTCCATTGTTTACTGGTAATTACTGGTAAATATTTTTCAACCTAACGAAACTATTACCCGTTTAGAGGTCGACCCCCAACTTTTTGCCAAATAATTTGGTCTTAAAAACTCGAACTACACACAGGTATATATGGTAAATAAGGACATAGGGGGCCAGGGGTTTTTTAGGGGGGGCATCAAAAGTACACTAAACGGATTTTTAACATTCACGGGTATCTCTGTTACCTAACCCCCGCGTATGTTAAGGGCTGACTGTACTGTATTAATCTACACCACGAAGATGCTGGAAAACCAGCTTTTTAAAGTGAGACATTGTAAGAGCATGGAAACAGAGAAGAAGGCAGAGCATTCCACAGTTTGGCTGTGTGAGGAAAGAAGGAGGTACTATAACGAGTTATTCTCGTGTGACCGACATCCACTGAGAAACGGTGGGCACCGCAGGCAAGCAGTGTGTTACAAACCCACGGCCTTGCCAGCGGTACACAGGATGCCAAAGGCACCGCAAGGCAGGACCGTCAGGGGTGCAGGCAGGACCGTCAGGGGTGCAGGCAGGACCGTCAGGGGTGCAGGCAGGACCGTCAGGGGTGCAGGCAGGACCGTCAGGGGTGCAGGCAGGACCATCAGGGGTGCAGGCAGGCACTACACATACCGACTCAGGCGATGATGTTGGTGAGTTATCACATTTACATTCATTTAGGCATGTTTATTTCATATTTCCATGTGAAAAAGCAAACATAAAATATGTATGAAAACATGTACTAATGTTTCATTACAGTTCTGTGTTTAGGCACGCAGTTGTCACGTGACACGGAGGACGTTGGCTGTGAGTCGAGTGGCGAGTGATGAGTCAGCAGATTCCAAATTTTAATCCTTAGGCCCCGGATGACGTTCCAGAACGCGCGTCTTTTCCCGCCACTGTTTAAATGCCCAGCTCAGGTCATCAGGCTCCCTTGTGACTATTTGCCTGCCACGCCACACCTCGGTCACAGGGAAGCTTCCTGAACATAATTACCTACTTTTGTTTGTTTCATTTTCATTGTTTGTCCATTTTGTCATGTTCATGTTGCATCAAAAAAATATTGCTAAAAGTAGTGTAGTTGTATTGTAGTGAAGTATTACTGGAAAATAATGCTATGATTGTTGTAAATGTATTTATTTATGGCATTATTATTCCGATAATTATCAGATACCAGTACAGTGACCCCTCGTTTAACGAACACCTCGGTTAACGTAATTTCGATTAACGAACTGCCTTCCATAAGGATCTTCAATTCGTTTAACGAAAAAAAATTCGCTTAACGAACTTCTTACGAACCGACCTCAACATGTTTTCGCTTGCACTGACCGGGCAACCAGCTTTAGTATCAGTCCGCCAATACATTAATCGGTTCTAGGGCTTAAATTCCTTACTATTTTTGTAAATATCAAGAAGTTTATACTATTCAATAATTTTAACAGTTTAATATTCAATTTTTTAGTCATTTTAACAATTATTGAACAAAAATGAAGGTAAAGTGACTAGTTTAATGCGCGGCATCCAGCCTCTTTACACAGCAAACAGGCGTCAGTCTCTCTCTGTTTTCACTGGAGGTAACATCTTGCTTGAGACTCTCTTCAACTAAACGCTTTTTTCTGTGTTTCCAAGCAAATTATTGGTCATTTTGAAATATATTTTATATATTGACAATATATAATGCAGTGCAGCATTGATTTAAAGAAAATAATCTTGAATTAAACCAGAGAGCTAAAATTTTATGGGTGAAATGGCACCATGGGGTGACTTCTCTTCCACCCCAATGCCTTCTCTTCTTCCTTCTCCTCCACCCCCATTCTAAATCCCATCATCATCATCATCATCCAGGAGCCTTCTACATACACACCTCAAAGTAAGTGAACTTTTCTACCATTTTTGTTGAATTTAGGAAATTTTCGGTGAGCTGGAACCAATTACCCAAAAACCCATTGAAACAATGGTTTCGGTTAACGAACGTTTCGGTTAACGAACGACCTTCTGGAACGGATTGAGTTCGTTAACCGAGGGGCCACTGTATGACTATTTTTCTCCCTGGAACACATGCGTGGTTAGGCTCAGGGCGGTCAGTAACCATTCGCCCGGGGTCGTGGAGAGTAATCCCTCAACTTCTTGTGTCCCCCCTCCCCCCCCTGAATATTCTACCCCAATCAAGCGCCATCGCCGCAGGTTGAATGATAGCGAAATAAGGACAGAACTATTTGATGTGAGTGCTGTAGTGGTCGATTCTGGTGAAAGTGGTGATGAAGACAGTGATTATCAGCCTAGTGACCAAGAGGATAGCATCGAGTTAGATGATGTTGTGTCAACCAGTAAGGAAGAGGACCCGACCTAGACAAGGGACAATGGATGCATTTGTTTGGCCTGATGGCAGTAATTTTCAGCCTGATGTCCCTGAATTCAGAAGATCATCAGGTGGAATTACTCCTGAATTTTCTTGTACAGAGGAATCACGCGAGATAGATTATTTTTGTGCGTTCTTTGGTGGTTTAATTATGGACTTACTGTGTACCGAGACAAACAAATTTTATCAGTACACGTGTGATGTTGACCTGGGCTCTGGCCCCTCGCCACACATGCGTCGATGGAGTGATGTCGGAGTTGCCGAACTGTATGTGTTTTTTGCATTACTGATGCTGATGGCACATGTGCAAAAATATGTACTTCAGGAGTATTGGATCTCTCCTGATGACATCACTGCAATTCCATTGTTTGCAAAATTCATGTCCAGAGACCGGCTTGCCTCCATCCTACGTTATATACACTTCGTAGATAACAACATTCCTGTGACTGGTGACAGACTTTGGGAAATAAGAGAAGTTTTTACAATGCTGAAGGAACGCTTTATGAAGTTCTTCAGACCCTTTCAAAACGTAGTGGTGGACGAGTCGCTGGTGCTTTTCAGAGGACGTGTTGTTTTTAGACAATACATTCCCTCCAAACGACATCGCTTTGAGATCAAGTTCTTTGTGCTGTGTGAATGCGATACTGGGCATGTCTTAGATCTCATAGTTTACATAGCAAGTGACGTAGATATACCCAAGGGCGACCCACATGGTTTCTCTGGAGCCGTTGTCAAGATACTTATGGACCGCTACTTTGGAGGGAATCACATCCTCTACACGGACAATTTTTATACCTCGCCTGCCTTGGCCAAGTTCCTACTTGAACATGACACAGGTTCTTGTGGAACTGTACATAAGAACTGGTAACAGTGGCTCTTGTTTACTGGTAAACCTGCCCGAGGAGAGATCCAGCTGAAGCAAGCAGACAAGATGCTTGCAATACGCTGGCAAGATAAGCGTTCTGTACAGATGCTGTCAACCGTTCACAAGGGTGAAATGGTTGACAGTGGAAAAAGGGACTTGACCTCAAGAGAGGTAATGAAAAAACCTGACACTGTCGTGGACTACACTGTAAACATGCGCCTCGTGGACAAGAGTGATGTGCAGGTTGGTGCAATTGAGTCTGTAAGAAAATGTCTCAAGTGGTACAAGGAGACCTCTTGGACATCATCATCCAGAATGCATACAACTTGTACCTAGTAAAAACCGGGAAAAACGCTCTCTCAGGGTTGTTCAGAAGCAAGTGATAATGCAACTCCTGGAGAATTATGGCACCATTCGTGGCAGCTGCACCACGACGTCACAGCCAAGCAGGCCTACCCGACAGACTGCTTGCATGTGACTGGGTCGTTCGTCACAACATGGACTTCCTTCCGACTGGTCCAGGTGGTCGTAAGGGGCAAAGGCGGTGTTAAGTCTGTGCTAACACCACAAAGCGCGCAGCTAAGTGTATGGACGTGGTGCAAGGAGTGTGACGGTGGTCTCTGTCCACCTTGCTTCGTGAAGTACTACTCCAAGAAAACATTCTAAAATAATGTGGCACGTGCTTGTAAATAGTGTAAATAATACTATAAGTGTATTTGTCAGAAACAAAGTGACATGTTTGTGGGAAAGGTACACCGTTGTATGAATTCACTCGTCTCTACCCACGGGCGCTGGCAGACAGCTAGCTAGGAGTCAGGGTGGCACCAACACCACCTATCACCACCACCTCACCTCTTACACGCAGTCGGAGGGAAGCTTCTTGGTAAGTACCTTCCTTTGTTTGTTTATTTTCCATTGTTTGTCCCTTTTATCATGTTGTATCAAAGTAATATTACTAAAAGTAGTGTAGTTGTATTGTAGTGTAGTATTATGAGATGATAATGGTATGCTTGTGATATGAATGTATTTATTTGTGGAATTATTATTCCGATAATTATTTATGACTTACTTGCTCTCCCAAACACAAAGACAACCAGACAGCCTGGCGACAGACTGGGTGTGTGTCGCCGAACAGTCTTTATGAAAAGTAATGCAAATAAAATTAATTCTAAATGAATTATTTAAAGGAAATATATATTTGTATCAGTAAAAATATGTATTTTTGGCCATCTCAGACACAAAGGAGACGGAAAAAGGACCAGAGGCACATATTCAATGTGTGCTAGGTGTGCTCCGCACATCCACAGAAGTCATAAATAATGATTTAATACTCTTTTTTAATGTAGATAAATATACAGGACATTTTACATGTATTAACACACTGTTAACCTCAATTGTTGTTTCTTGGCTTTCCTGTTGGCTTGCTACTAGCTGCAGAGCGGAGCTGTCACCGCATACTTTGAGTAGTAGTACCAGAAGGGAGGGGACGGGGGTACTGAGGCGGGGAGGGACGGGGTTTATAGCGAGTGAGGTCGAGCGGCCAGCCAGTAGCACCCAGCCCGCAGTGGAGGAAGTGTTGCTCTGTACTTCGTTTCCGTTTACTGTGAATGTGAAAATATATTTCTTTGTTTTGATTTACATAGTACAAGAATTTAAAGCTCACTGTACAATTAATTTAGATACTTTAACATCATTTTCACCCTTCTTACACAATGGGAAATTCTGTTGAAAATAATTTACTCACAGAATTAAGACAAAGAGGCTCCTTTTATGATGACGTTATAATGCAGTTTACATCGCAAAAGAAGGAGAAGAGAATTAATGTATAAACAAAATGGGTAAGTAAAATATATTTTTGTTTAAATTGCACTGCTAATATATGTATACTGTACTTCTACAATAATTTTCTTCTATTTTTCATTTCTCTGTGCTGTTTATATGTTATTCTATTGCCTTTTATAAATATGTCATTTATTTTATACAACTTAAAGTTTAGTCTTTACCTTATTATAATGCTCAGCACACTGAAAAGGACCCCTAATACATAGTGACCGCGAGCTGCTCCCTGTAAGAAAACGCACCTTTCTCCTTATATCACTCGTCACTGAGGTGACAATATATAGTTTTTCTTATGTCTTTTTCATTGTTTTATCATTTATAAAGGTTAAAATATATTTTTGGAAAAATTTATTTTTCCCATTTTACCCAGCATGGGGGGTACAGTCACCGCCACCCTAGACCGGGGATTAGGGGTTAGGGTGAGTGTAAATGACGTGAAAAGTGAAGTGAAGAGAATGGAAAGCTTAATGAAAAAGAATCAATACTGTAACTAATATTTTTGGTTTGTTCGTTTATGTAGGTGTGGGAGGCAGTGTGGCGTCTGGTGTTCTCGGGATGGCCCATGGGACGCCGCATCACCTGCCGAGTTTGGTGTTCCTGGTGTTCCCGAGTCTGGTGTTCCCGAGTCTAATGTTCATTGGTGCTTTAGTTAGTAAGAAAATAAACTCATTAAGTTAAGTTTAGTCACTTTTATTGGCCTCCAGAACCTAACCCTATTTTCCCCAGTGATTACATGTAATTATATATCGAGATTTAGTATACAGTGAACATCCTTGGACCCTATCTTGTGATATATCCCGACCCTACCGTACTGTATACAGAAACTTATTGACCAAATCCGGTGAAGAAAGATCTCAGTTACTTGTAGTTACATATAATAATAATAATAATAATAATAATAATAATAATAATTAACGGTTTATTGAAAGAGCTTGGCAGCCAGAAGGCTGAAAATATACAGTTACATATTTGGGGAATGGGTTTCGAATTACAAATAATATACAAGTAACATAAGTGACACAAATAAGACATATAATAACTAGATGGGGAAAAGCTCAAACTACAGTTCATTTCAACATAGTGACAGTGCAAGGAGTAGTGTTTACTGGGAGTGAATACACTGGTTTATTACAAGTTATTGATAATTTTTACAATGGTTGGGACTGGGCTGTTCTTATAGCGATCAGTTCGTGCATGTATGGGCTGGATGCGGTTGTGGTGTCGAACAGCAATTCTCGGACTAGGGATCTCAGGTGGTAGTAGGAGCCGGTGTCGAGGATGGTGTAGAAGCTTCTTCCCAAATTTGCAGATGAGGTCGTGGTGATGGTCAGTGAGAGTCGAAAGGGTCAGTGTGTTGAGCGCTTCTTGATATGTGGAGTAGGAAGGGGAGAGAATAATCTTGCATGCCCTCTTTTGCACTTTTTCTAGGTGTTTACATTGTGTGGCATTTAGGGAGGAAGACCAGGTGGGGGAGGCATAGGTGAGCTTGGGAAGTATGAATGTTGTGTAAACACTGAGGAGCTCGGGTGCAGGAACTCCGAGGGACTTGAGTCGGCGGAGGAGGTGGAGACGGAAACTGGAGGATTTGACAACTTCACTGACGTGTCGTTTCCAATACAGTACAGTAGTTTTTTAAAGGGGGTCTAAAAAATCTTATAAATTTCAGCTAATGATATAAAGTAAACAAGGAAACAGATTATCCATATTACAATAATATGTTGTGCTTGCCAGTGTTTGCAATTTTAATATAATTTACCTTTTCCTATTATGTTAAATAAAGTGTCAAAGTAAACAACTTTCTATGTAGGCCTACCAAGTATATGTCAACTATTGAAATTTTAATGTTTTTTTTTTTTATGTTTTGTAAAATTTTGGAAGGGCTATTAAACTTTGGGAAGGGCTAGTAACTATTCGGTTCTATTAGTCGGCTGGCTACCAGAAAAAAAGGGCAAATATCTACCCCCAATAAGGATCAAGGACGGACATGGATGGGTTATATACAAAGGGAAGGTAGTGGAGGCAAATGCATCAGTACAGAACCAGGGGACAGAGGGACACCCAACCCCCCATCCACTCCACCTCCCACCCAGGAGGAGGTCAGTGCCATGTAAACAATGTCATCTCTGACCACACCCATAAAATACAATGTATTTACTAAACGAGGCAGTTGCTGAGAATGTAAGGAAGCTGGAGACGATACTGAAAATAAATTCCAGCTTTAATGTCATGTACACTAACAATGACATGTTACTTGATAAGAGAGTGGAGTTTTAAACACTACTGAAGGTACATCAACCTGACATAGGTGTTGTAGACCTGTTGTACAAGAACAGGAGAATCGAGACAGATATGACTGACGAACCTTTCTCCAAGTAACTTGCAAGAGGGGTTTTGTTATCTATGCTAGGCAAGCTAGAGCTAGCCAGGTGGGGTGTGGGGAGAGGATGTTTTTGAAGAATCCAAGCGGTGTAAAATTACTGATGGGGAGAGACTTACTCATTGTCGGGTGTATCTACAGATCCCCAAAATGTAGCTTATTAAACCAAAGGAACTTAAGAACCTTAATTGACAATGAGTGCTCCCCTAGCCACCTCCTGGATAAATGAATACACACCAAATGACCTTAATAATCCCTCTACTCTTTTTGTAGAAACTCTGAGACAATTTTCTAATCCAACATGTTAAAGATGTGACTCACTACAGGAAGGGGCAAACACCCCAAACCGCTGGACCTCATCACAACTAATGAGGAAGGTATGGTGGCCAAGCTGGAACACCTAGTCCACGTTGGCACCAGTCACCACATAATGTTGTTCTTTAGATTTAACTGTTACTTGGTTCATGACAAAAACAGGCCAAGGTTCAAATATTACAAAGGTAATTACGATGGGATGAGAGAGGAGATGAGGGGTATTCACGGGTCTGACTTCCTGAGATACAAGAACACAGACAATACACTGAATATCATAGCCAGTAAAGTTAACCATTTGATTGATAAATAAACAACCAAGACCAAACCCAGTGCATACTGGAATACAAGAAGACCGTTACACATGAACCATGCGGCGGTAAGGAAAGTTAAGAAGTAAGTTCAGAATTTCAAGATGTGGGTTAGGACAAATAATGAGCAGGACAGGAGGATGTAAGCCAGATCCAGGAACCAA